GACTATAGTAGATATGGTACATCTACTTAATCAAGCAAAAGTCAGAAACTTTTGAAAAGTTCAAAGAGTTCAAAAATGAAGTGGAGAATCAATTGGGCAGGAAGATCAAGATGCTTCGATCCGATCGAGGAGGAGAGTAACCTAAGTCTTGAATTCCACGATTATCTCAAGGAGTGTGGAATAGTTTCACAATTGACGCCACCTAGGACACCACAATTGAATGGTGTGGCAGAAAGGCGTAATCGAACATTATTGGACATGGTTCGCTCTATGATGAGTCGTGCTTCGCTATCTATCTCTTTTTGGGGGTATGCCTTAGAGACTGCCGCCCATATCCTTAACCGAGTCCCTACTAAGAAGGTTGCCAAAACACCTCACGAGATGTGGATGGGGAAAGCTCCTTCGTTAGCACATATCAAGGTTTGGGGTTGCGAGGCTTTCGTAAGATGAGATACTCACGACAAGCTTGAACCTCGTAGTGAGTGATGTATTTTCATCGGCTACCCGCAGAAATCCTTTGGATATCTCTTCTATAGACCGAAGTACAATGTTGTCTTTGTTGTGAGGAGAGGAGTTTTCCGAGAGCGAGAACTCATAAGCCAAGGAGACAGTGGGAGGCAAATCGATCTTGAAGAGATTAAAGAGTCGATAGATGAAGGAACCTCTACCGCTGGCGCTCAACTCGAGGAGGAAACTCCGGTTGAACCGATTGACGTATCATTACCTCTTAGACGTTCCGAAAGAGTTAGATTTCAACCCCATTTGTATGGTTTTCATATTACTACCGAAGGGGACACGTATATTAGTGATAGTACACTAATAAACCTTGATGAACCTAATATCTATAAGGAAGTCATGGTGGGCCCGGAGTCTGCAAAGTGGAAAGAGGCAATGGATAGCGAGATCCAATCCATGTATGATAACCAAGTTTGGAGTTTGGTTGATAATGTGCCTGGACGTAAGACCGTTGGGTGCAAATGGATCTTCAAGAAGAAGACCGGCGTGGATGGAAAGGTACACACGTATAAAGCGTGATTGCTTGCAAAGGGCTTTACTCAAACTCTCAGAGTTCACTATGAAGAGACCTTCTCACCAGTTGCGAAGATAAAGTCTATTAGAGTGATGCTAGCCATTGTTGCATTTCATGATTATGAGATTTGGCAAATGGATGTCAAAACCGCTTTCCTTAACAAGAAGTTGGCTGAGGATGTTTACATGGCTCAGCCAGAGGGGTTTGTGGATCTGAAGCATCCGAATAGAGTGTGTAAGCTTGAGAAGTCCATTTATGGACTAAAGCAAGCGTCTCGCAGATGGAATCTTTGCTTCGATGAGAAAGTCAAAGAGCTTGGATTTGTACGAAGCGAAGATGAATCGTGTGTATATGTCAAAGCCAGTGGGAGTGTAGTAAGCTTCCTCGTTCTATATGTCGATAACATATTACTCATAGGAAACGACGTCCCGACTCTGCAGGAGGTTAAGTCTTGGCTCGGGAAGTGCTTCGCTATGAAGGACCTCGGAGAGGCTTCCTATATTTTGGGAATAAGGATAGTAAGAGACTAATAGGACTTAGTCAAAACACTTACCTAGAGAAGGTACTAAAACATTTTAGTATGGAAAACTCGAAGAAGGGAGAATTACCGATACAAAGTAATCCCAAGTTGAGTAAGACTCAAAGTCTGAGTACCGAAGCCGAGATAGCTGAAATGAGCCGAGTTCCATACACTTCCGCAGTTGGCTCAATCATATACGCTATGACTTGTATTCGCCCGGATGTAGCCTTTGCTTTGAGCATGGTTAGTAGATATCAAGGGAATCGTAGCAGAGCCCATTGGTTGAGGTGAAGAATATCCTTAAGTACCTTCGGAGGATGAAGGAATGGTTCTTAGTCCTTGGAGGGAGTGATGACTTGAAGGTGTGAGGGTATAGTGACGCCAGCTTTCAGACCGACAGGGACAACTACTATTCGCTGTCAGGATGGGTCTTTACCCTGAATGGAGGAGCAGTGACTTGGAAAAGTTCCAAGCAGGAAACCGTAGCTAATTCAACGTGCGAATCAGAGTACATTGCAGCGAGCGAAGCGTCGAATGAGGCAATATGGCTGAAGAACTTCATTAGTGATCTTGGAGTTGTGCCTGCCATAACGGAGCCCATGGAGATTTTCTGTGATAATGAAGGAGCGGTTTCCTTGACCAAGGAACCGAGAGATCATGGTAGATCACGACATATTGACAGAAAATATCACTTTATTAGACATCGTGTAGAAGAAGGACAACTCGTAGTGAAGAGGATATCATCAGAAGATAACCCAGCAGATCCGCTTACGAAGGGACTGAGTAAGGTTAAGCATCTGCAGCATGCTCGGAGTATTGGGCTGAAGGATGATATTAGCATAGATTAGATAGTATTAGAAACGTATAAGAGATAAATGTAATTAACATTTAATGATTAAATAAAGGAGTTTTATTTATAAGTAATGTTACTGTCTATGTTAATTGTTTAACTATTGTTTCACTTTGCATGTTTTGACTTCCAGAATAATTGAGTTTATTAAGAATAATCGAATTGTTCAAATTGTCCACAATCGTTCATATGTCGGAAGTAGATATGAATGAAGATTGTCATGAATAGGTGTGTAGATTGTCTAAATGGTTTTAGACATAGCAAAAGATTTCTGCAACGTTCATGAGTGCTTATGAACTAGTTTTGAGCATTGGAACAAACCCGTACTTGCTGGAATCACCTTATGGAATGTGATAAAAAGGGTAATCGCAAGACGATAATATCATATAGTCTTAAAATCTAGATATATGGTTTGTTATTTGTTAATTGATTGTACATTGATAATGTGAAAATGCATTGGTAGCTCAATGTTATAAAACGCATTGTTGTGTATAGTTGGTTAATGAATAAGTAAATGCATATAAGTCGGAGTTTATCTGTAACTTTTATCCTAAGAAGGAAAAAGTGATATCTCGGCCGCTCGATGATTTGATTTGACTTATGTGTCGGGCCCGATCAGAACTGAATTGATGTGTTCGATTAAGTTCTATGTCGAATAAATCGGAGATCGAGAAACCAAATGCTAGACTAATCATTCCATAGAATTGCCCACATGATATCTAACACAGGACTGTACGATCCCTTATCTGAAGGACAAGATTGATTAGATCAAAGTTTGACAGCGTCTTTGAGAGCTACGATTGCAAATCGGATTGTACTTGTGCATATAGTTACTAGACTTATCCAAGTGGGAGACTATTGGAATAGTATCTAAGGCTGCAACTATATTAGGCAAGTATTTGACCCGATTGTGCATGGTCCTTTTGGGTTGCCTTCACCATAGCAACTTGGTAGGATGATTTATTATGAGAGAATAGATATTATTAATATATTATGAGAATAATATAATGAATAATAATATTTTTATTTGATTAATATAAGTCATAGATTAATTAGTATTAATTTGGTGACTTAAAGAGATTAATTAAATAAGAGGGTATAGACTGTCAATTGTTTGATAGTTACACTTTAGGCTGTAAATCCTTAAAGGATATGGGTTGGACGAATTCTAGGGCTTGGGATAGCCTCAAATTCGTCCATGGCTTATCTTTGGAAAGGATTAGGATTACTTAGAGTCTAAGTTATCCAATTAGGGTTTAAGGGTGAAACCCTAGGAGCCTTACAAGTATAAATAGACCCCTTGGGATAGGGAAATTGGCACCTCCTCTACAGCAAGGATACCCTGGCCGATTTCCTCCTCTCTCCTCTCTCTCAAATCATTCTCTTTGCTAGTTGGTGTTTGTAAGCCATTAGAGGAGTGACAATTGTGACTCTAAAGCTCCAAGAACAAGAAGATCAAACAAGTGTTTCAAGGTATGATTCTAACTCTGGTTTTGTATTGTTCTTATACCTAATTAGCCACTAGGAGTCTTGGATTCAATGCATGTTTAATTAGAGAAACCTAGATCCAAGCATTAGGGTTTGTATGCACACATAGGAATGTTCTTATGTACAAAACCCATCAATACCTTATTAATTCCCCCCAGTTTGTATTGTTATCTACTCATAAAGATAACAATTCAAACTCTAATAGCATTAATTTTGTATCTGTTATAACCGGATAAGGGAGAAATCTCCTGAATTGAATTTTGATGTGACAACCTAAGGGTTTTCTAGCTCTCATGATGACTTCTATATCTATCTTTTTAGTTACTTTTTCTTTTACGAAATTATAGGGCCTACCAACCACTTTGTCTGTCCTCTTAAATGTTCAATGTTGATGAACTATATAAGTCCTTGTTTCAATTTGTTTATCTCACCTTCTGCTTTCTTTTAAGTGTATAACCACCTCTATATCCCTGTTATTTCACCTATCGCTTCTTATCATGGCCAACACTAGGATTTCTCACAGTAATAATGAAGAAGTATGAAATCGATCCAAAATTCCATCCTCACCTTCTAGATAATGATGACGCAATTACTTATGCTCCCAAGGATTTCGTTAGGGTTTATAGGGGTTTCTTCAAATCTAGCTGGAGACTTCCTATCTTTGATTTCCTGGAGATAGTTCTCGAGTATTATGGTCTGCATATCTCCCAAATTACTCCGAATGGGTTTCGCAAAGTGCTTTGTTTCTATCTCTATATGTCCAACGGTGACTAAGTATCCTTTTCCCTCCGCCATGGTCTTGTGGAGCTTTGCGATGGTCTTCCAACCTCCATCAAGTACTGGAAGGAGGAATTTTTATTTGTACATGTTTTTGCCTTCTCCAGATCTATGGTGTTTGGTGCCATTGTTGACAGGATTGTTGATCCTGTTCCCGACTCATCTGCTGAACAACGTACAGTTGTTGATTTTTTGAGTGAGAATTACATGAAATGGTTTGATCCGGAGGAGGTTGTATTGGGGATGGCCGGTATGAGCCCGCATTGGAATAAATTAGGGAAACAACCTTTCAAGACCTTGGGAGAGAAATAGGTAACTTTGCTTGATTGATTACTAAGGAAGCGACTGGTAGGGTCTGTCGTGGTGACGGAAGAGACAGTCGTGTCGGATTCTCATTTTAAATTAGAATCTAGCATTGACTTGTCTGCAAATTTTTCTCGCTCGGAGACTACAAGACCTATGAAATTGATCAGTCACCAAAGTGCTTAAGGCAGAACAAGGTCCCGGAAAACCGCCACTTGTGTCTACCATGTCAGCTTTGGCTTTTAAGAAAAGGATTGGGTATATTCCATCGAAGAGTGTAACTGAGCAATCACAACCTAAGAATAAATGGACCACTTGAGAAGCAAAGAATCGTAGTCTGAGCAGCTTATCCGAGTGGCTGAATTCCGATCCCATTGATCCTGAATCTACTAACCTTGATTCTTTTTTGGAGATTCCTCCTTCATCTGAGTTTCATGACTGTCCACTAGTGTCTTATGTAGAAATGAAACTTGATGAAACAAATCTTTTAAAGAGAGATATCAATGTGTCTGGTCCTCATCCTGTTGTTGAGGCAAGTCCTATGGAACCCTCCATCCAACCCCTTGTGGAAGGTATAACTCAAAATCTTGTGCCCATTGTTGTTGTTTTCCCACATAATCTATTTGGGTCTGGCTTTAGCTATTTCCAATTGGTGACCAAGAAATCCACAACACTTGTAACGGAACCTGTTATTCCTGAGGCGAGGGCCTCTAATGGTGATACTCTGAACGTTCTTGTGATTGAACCCGATGCTACGACTACTGACTTATCTCCCGATGTTGTTTTGATGATGTCTCCCATGAATCGTATATTTCTTACACTGCTTTTATTAAATTATATGTATATGAATCGTATATTTCTTACACTGCTTTTATTAAATTATATGTATACGTTTTTTGATAAAGTGGCAGCTTGTTGTAGTGATCCCTTCTTTTGGAAAGGCAGCACAAAATGCCTACACTGGTTATCCTCTCTGCTTTACTTCCTCAATTCCATCGATCTTATGTTGTGACCAGTATACCGAAGAGTCCCGTGTTAGCCTAAGGAACTGATAAAGAAACTCTTAACAAAGCACGCTCCCATTTGTTGGAAGGAATGCAACTTCTGAATGAAGCATCTGCCCGTACTAAAGTGAAAACTGAATATTTCGCTGCTTGTTAGCTTAAATTTGAAGAAGCTTTTGAAGGTTTACAACAGCTTTGTAAGATTCATGATCGAACAGATCAAGAAGTCTAGGGGCTTCGTGAGCAGGTGACAAAGTTGTTTGAGCGGAACCAATGTCTAGTTCGGGACTTAAGTGAAAGTATGTGTGACATCCCCATTTTCACGGCCAGAAAAGACCGATTTTGTTTATGCTTTATAAAAATCAGAGTTCTTCTTTTAATAAAAATGTTGCGGAATTTGTTCCCAGAAAAACACGATAAATATGTTATTAAAACATTTTTGAAGAAACGTATTTTATTCATTTCAAAACGTTTGGGATGTCATCGGTAATACAGAAACATAAGAATAAACAGAACTTACATTTATTTACACTAGTGATCTACATCTCTTTAAATCTCTCAGTGTAATGTGACTTCATATCAACAGAAACGTATTTTATTCATTTCAAAACGTTTGACATTTTTTATATCCACTCGAAGGTGGGAATGTACTCTACAACTTTCGTTTAGACTCCATCGGTTGATTTTAACTCGATTTTAAATTTTATATTATTAACAGGCCGGGACAGGATTGGTCCGTTAAATCCTCATAACTTCTTCATCCGATGTCCGTTTTCACCCATCTTTTTCTCGTTACGCTACTCTTAACGAGATCTTCGATTCTATTTTAGGTCGTGTTGGCTAAAAACCGCTCGATCTAATATTCGAATTTCGGGATGTACACTACTAACTCGAAACTTCGAAAAATCATAACTTCTTCATACGAAGTCAGATTTGGGCGTTCTTTTTATCGATGTTCTTAGTTTAAAATATTCTATGAATTTCGATTAGAGTGCTAAGGCTATATCTCCCTCTATCGTAAATTCACTATTTACGCTTCCAGGTGCCGTGCCGGTTCCGTCGCGAAACTTCGACGGGTCATAACTTCTTCGTTATAACTCGGATTTTGGCGTTCTTTATATGCACAGAAACCTTGTGACATATTCTACAACTTGGTTAAGATTATTTATTCTAAATAATCTTTTGTCGAAAAGTTGTTTTCGACCCCTATTGCCTCTAAATTGACTAGCCCAGATCTATGGGCGTTACAATTACCTCCCCCTTAGGATGATTACGTCCCGGAATCATCAACGAAACAAGGCTCGTATAATGACTCCATACATCATCTATTCATCCTAGGTAATATTTTATAACTTCCACATTCCTTCAAGTCTATCTCTTAGACTCATTGACTACAAGCAGTACTCGATCGTGCACCTGCTCTCTACCTCAGGTTAGACTCCAAATTATGACCTATCATCATGTGATGCACGTTTAGACTCAGGTCTCTTAGTGTCAAATTTTAAAACAAGCTATGCCTTCCTTCATTTCTAATGTGATATAATCACACTACAAACTTCTTTAACAACGAGTGTGATACTTCTATTGTTCGCTTTGATTTCAATCGTTTGGTTTAAGTCGGACGCTACATCGATCTTGATTTTGTAAACCACATAGCATACTTAGCGTAGTCGGACTCAATTCGATATGACCACTAGGGTCGGAATATCAACAATCTTCTTAGTTATTACCGAAACAATGGTAACGACATACTTGAATAAAATGAAATCAATTACTAGCTTCTTGGTAACCTTGTGACTTTTCCTGACCCAAGTGTGAGTCTTGTGCTTCCGGTAGTATAGGCCTCTACTACCATTCACACCTACTCATACTCGTCCCAAGTATTGTCCCACAGTTTTTCCAAGTCACCATACAAGAAAATCACATAACAGCTTAACACATCAAATATCAAAATGAAGGTTTTTATTATTCCTTGAAACTATTACATAGGTGTTCAAGTTCACCCTAGACTATGCCTCTAACGGGCTACATCGTGAGGTACTATCTACATGATTACTCCATAACTCGATCCTTGGATGTCAAGCCTTCACTCCTGAATCCTCGCATTGTCATTTGCTTCGTCAAGGATCACTTGAAATGTTCTCGCCTTTGGCTTTGGCGGCACATTTGGCTTTGTAGCCCCTTCTCTCTTTGGGCAGTCTTGCTTGAAGTGTCCTTCTTCACCACACTTAAAGCAGACTTCTCTCTTGGTTGTGCATTCACTAGCGTAATGACCAGTCTTCCCGCATTTAAAGCATGTCGTATCTTTAGAGCATTTCCCGATGTGCTTCTTTCTGCACTTGTCACACCATTGCGTTCCTTCTTCATACTTCGAGAATTTTCTCTTCTCGCTGGACCTTGAAGATCCTTCAAACTTTCTCTTCTCGCCAACCTCCATCTTTTTGGTGGCTCTTCCCTTGATCATATCCTCAACAGACTTAGCAGCCCAGATAGCTGCCTCCAGAGTAGGTGCTTGACGCACTGGCACTGCGTACTCCCATGGAAGTCCTTTTGAGTACTTGTCGATTTTCGTCAGCTCATCCGGAACAAGAAGCAAGGCGAACTCCTTCTTCTCTGTGAAGTTGTTGGTGTATTCATCAATAGACATGCTTCCTTTCTTCAAGGTAAGGAATTGGTTTTCTAGCTCAAGCAAATTTTGGGCTGAGAAGTACTTACGTTTGAAGTGCACCAAAAACTCTGCCCATGTCAGTTGCAAGGGCTCATTGGGGCTTAGAGTCTTCCCCAGAGTGTTCCACCAACGAACCGTGCCTCCTCTAAACTGGCGTACCGCAAATGTTTTTTGTAGTTTGCCTCTGCAACCACACGTCATGAAAGCTAACTCCATCTCTGAGATCCAATCCATGACCCCGATCGGATCTTCCTTTCCAGTGAAATTCGATGGCTTGCAGGTCTGAAAATCCTTGTACTTGCATCCATTCCTCTCGACTTCGTCATCTTGATTGTTCCTTCTAATCACCGGTGGATCAGCTTGACCGACACTCCTGCTGTCATTCCCTTCCTCAGACTACCCGTCATTCAGCTTGGGCTGCTCAACAGGCATCGTAAGTTCCTCTCGAGCTTGTTGAAGTAAACACCTTGTTTCCTCCATTTGACGATCCAACATCACCTGGATCATCGCTTGCACTCCGGCCATCATTATTGGCTCAGCAGCGGCTACCACAATCGGTATCTGCTCAATCACTTGGGGTTGGTTTCTGTTCCCATTTGCATTCATGTTTCCGCTACGGGTCCTTACCATCTTGATCTATACACCGAATAAGGTGAATCTAGATCTTTATTTAGGATAGACGTTTAAATCATCCTTATCACTCCGAAACATTTATATGCTAGTTCTAATATCGTAGTTAAACGCTTAGAATCCTAAACACATAAGGTTTCCAGATTCGTTCGACAACAGACCATAGATCCGAACAAATAATAGCATGTCAGGCACAAAGCATTTAGCACATAAAAGCATTTTAGGCATAATCCCCAAAATAATCTAGTGCTCACACCTCACAATCATCGCTTAGCATTCTAAGTTTAAGTCTAGAAATAAATCCATATTCCTAGTTCGCTTAAACTAATGCTCTGATACCAACTGTGACATCCCCATTTTCACGGCCAGAAAAGACTGTTTTGTTTATGCTTTATAAAAATCAGAGTTCTTCTTTTAATAAACATGTCGTGGAATTTGTTCCCAGAAAAACACGATAAATGCGTTATTAAAACGTTTTCGAAGAAACATATTTTATTCATTTCAAAACGTTTGGGATGTCATCATTAATACAGAAACAAAGCATAAACAGAACTTACATTTATTTACACTAGTGATCTACATCTCTTTAAATATCTCAGTGTAATGTGACTTCATATCAACACATGTGATGTAAATAAACTGAGTGGGTCAGGTTGCGAAACCTGGTGAGTACATAGGGATTTCAATCCCACAATGTTATACCATATATATAGTTTAAAACTCACAAAATATACAATTTCACCATATATATAAACAACTCTTATCCCACCCCGTCGATCCTCACAACGAGGCTATCCATACTCTCGGACCTAAGATTAGTCGTTTTACCTACTCCATACTCCCGGATCAGAAATGAACGAATTTACCAAATCCATACTCTCGGACTAGGGACGAATGACTAATCCATACTCTCGGATTAATGATGAATGATTATGCCTAATCCATACTCTCGGACTAGGGACAATGACTAATCCATAGTCTCGGATTAATGATGAATGATTATGCCTAATCCATACTCTCGGACTAGGGACAATGACTAATCCATACTCTCGGATTAATGATGAATGATTATGCCTAATCCATACTCTCGGACTAGGGACAATGACTATGTCTAATCCATACTCCCGGATAAATGACATATACTAGATTCTATTCTCTGAGTATAACTCACTTGTACTCGTAAGAATATACTACCCAATATTCCTCATATTTAATTTAGGTCTACTTTTTATCCTAACTTATCAAATATAATCAGGTATGTTCTTTAACACGTATTTCAGGCAACATCAATTAACTCGCACATAAACATATAATTAATACTTCAATCAATACTTGTATTAAAATCATGTTCATGAAAGGGACTATGCACTCACTTGATAGGTGGTGACTCATCACTAGGACAGCGCTTCGATACTCTCAAAACAACTTTCCTTCGATAAAACCTAGTACCAATACCACTAGGGTTTAGTCTAACGATAACCGCGACAAATTAATAGTCTGACTATTATTATTATTATTATTATTATTATTATTATTATTATTATTATTATTATTATTATTATTATTATATAAGTGTTAAATAACACTCAATATAACTCATAATAATAACCCAAATAATTATTTTAAGGACCTAATAACATTCCTATAATTATTTGAAAGCTATATCAAAAACAGCGTAAGCGTAGCACACTTACAGTGAATTTTATCAAAAACCAGAACTTAATTTGAGCAGCGTTTCGAAACCGAAAGG